CAATAAAATATTGCAAACACACCTACACACTTGCTCAGGGAAGGGCGGAGTGGTGCATACCTTCATACTCTCTTCACTCACTCTCTCCATTTTTCTCTCTTTTCCATTCATTTTCTTGTCTTCTTCCTCATCTCAGCTCTCTCCTCAATCTTCTAAATTTCTCAATCAGTCCTTCTGTCTCTCAAAAGTAGTATTTGGAAATACTTCCCAGCTCTTGTTGCAGTGTGCATACTGTGTATGACTGTTTACCAGGTTTCAAGTCAGTGTACATTAAAGGTGGAGTCTGTGATTCTCAACCAGTACACTGTCTGTCAAATATATTGTCCTCAGGGTCAGCTAACTGTCTCTTTGTATGAGATGAAAAAAATGTTGGTGTTAATACACAGCCCAGCTCTGTAAAGGGTACAGAAACAAAGTGGCTCAGACCGAGCTTCATAACACTGTTGTAGCCTTAGCAACATTTGTGTCGGCAGGGAGTCACTACGGTCCAGGATTAGACTCCCGGTGCTAGGGTTTGCTTTGGCTGATTTCTAGTTGCTACAGCGGGTTACTGAAGGCTAATTGACAGATCTGACTGAAGGCTAACTGACAGTCCATGTCTCTGCACCACCGCCACAAATAGAAACTAATTTCATGGGAAACAATGAAATAACGTCGGATGTAGTACCTTGCAAGCTTTCTCCAAAAAAAACTCAAATTGTTTCCATGGAATTACACCTATTCGCTTGTGTAACGTTACTTATCGAGGCTTACTTACCCTCGGGCAGCAGATGCTGTGTATTCCACCATATCTTCTTCTGATTAGAGGGCTTGTCCAGCTGTTCGTTGCCATGGCAATGCGGGTCCACGAGATTTGAAGACTTACTGTTTGTTTTAGTTTGAGTTATATTATCAAGAAAATCTGAAAACAGTACAGACTGAAAGGAGAATAGGCAGGGCAGTTTTATTTATAAAGCACATTTCATATGCAGTTAGGTTCAACGTACTGTTCGGAAAAGTTAGTTAAACAACACAATCTGAAGTTAAAACAATAACACTTAAATGAAATACAGAAATAAAAAAACAGTACATACAATGTCGATGTACCATACCATAAGATGTTCATAAATATTATAAATATTCAATAAGTAAAGCTGTTTTATTGCATGAAAAATAAGTATGTTTTACATATTATTGTATATGTTGATTACTTTCTGTTGCACTATAAGCTACACTACAATACTAAATTCAAAAGGCTTTATTAACATGATCATACGGTGGTGCAGTGATTAGCATTGTAGCCTCACTGCAAGAGTTTCCATGTTCTCTCTGTGTCAGCGTGGGTTTTCTTCGGGTGCTTCTCCGGGACTGTGGGCTTCCTCCCACAGTCCAAAGACATGCAGGTTAATTGGTGACTCTAAATTGTCCGTAGGTGTGAATGTGAGTGTGAATGGTTGTCTGTCTCTATGTGTCAGCCCTGTGATAGTCTGGTGACCTGTCCAGGGTGTACCCTGCCTCTCGCCCAATGTCAGCTGGGATAGGCTCCAGCCCCCACAACCCCCAACAGGATAAGTGGTTAAAGAAAATGAATGAATGAATATTGATAAATCATTAAATAAATATTGACATTAAAGGTATATCCCTCAGTTTTTCCACTTCCATTAAGTGCATATTTTTAATGAGGCAGACTTTAAAATGAATGATCAAAGTTGAGTTAGTAGATCCATGATGTCCTGACTTTTATTCCCCACAATGGGCCAAGCTCCAAAACACATCCTACATTCCCCCAAATGACTTGAAAACATCTTTCATTAGACCAGGGATACTCAGCTCGCTTTGCCCAGTGGCCACTTTTGCAAAATGGCAGGAGCCCAGGGGCCAGTTAACAAACAAACATCAATAAAATGTTGATTAAAATGGAAAAAAAAAAAAAAAGCAAATCCAGTGGCAGCAGGCCCGCACAGGTCGGGTGTACATGGGTGTTTCTAGGATGTGAGGACGTCTGGGGCTTAGCCTGGACCCCTGTTGCTGTGATCCTCTGTTGGCACTTTTTTGTGTGTGGACAAGCTGCATTTTGATGCTTTTTTATGCACTCTGCCACCTTATTCACATTCAAAGTACAAAAAACATCCCAGTATGAATCACTCTATTTTCATTGTAAATAAGAAAATGGTCGGCAGCCCGGCCGTAAGTTGAATGTGCCTGTTTAATAAACGTCCACACAGTTTTTTAACACAGGCTCTCTTTTACAAATGTGTAATCTTGGACCAGAAGTACTAAATCCAAATTGAAATTCCATACAAACATTACACACAGTGTTGCCAAAGTAATGTGTGAAAACTGACCTAAACTTTCTATATATTCACATCACTGCAAAAGAAACTGTTACATTCTCCAAAAATAATGTAACAACATAATATATGGATAAGGGTCTACATTTATGTGTGATTTATTGGGCACATTTTCATTAATCATTAACAGTATTATTACTCACAGCAGTTTTACACATGAATAAAGCCTCTGTGATATAAAATGCCACTGAGATTTGCTGGCGAAGAGATGAGAGCAGAGGGAAGAGGTTAAGACTTAACGAGGAAATGTCTTGCCAATATCTGACCCAGGCCTCGCGCGCACACGCACACACACCAAACACACACCAAACACACACCAACATAAATGTGGGCTTGTGTTACATGACTGTTTGAGCGGCGCTCTTATTGATACAGATGTATTGGTCATTAAGTCTGTTAGGTTTGACGTCTCAGCTCGGCTGCAGCCAAAGAAAATAACATCAGAGCTCTCTCCCAGAAATGTTCCACTCTGTATGGGCAGAAAGAACTACATTGTGGTGTTTCCAGATTACAGTCCGATATGTGTACGTGTGTCTGCATGTGTGTGTGTCACCTTAAACATGCTTCATGATTATTCACGGGGCTGTGAGAAGAGTTTTGTCTCTCCGCCAGAGTGAAAAGTATGTCCATCTTGCATCTCTTTATGTGAAAGGAAGAAAATAGCACCATGGAATATAAAGGAGTAGTTCTACATTTTAGAAAATATGCTTATTTGCTATCCTCTTAGATGACTTGGTAGATACCATACTCATATTTGTTAATTAAATATGAAGCTGCAGCCAGTTGTCAGCTAGCTTAGCTTAGCATAAAGACTGGAAACAGAGAGCAACAGCTGGCCTGGTTCTGTCCATAGGGAACAAAAGTTGCCTACCAGCACCTTGAAAGCTCACTAGATGACAGATATATAATGTTTGTTTAAACTGTACAAAAAGCCTACTGTAAAAACAGTTTTGTGTATAAGTTAAGCAATAGTCGGATACTTAACCCATTACATCGAAACTTGATGTTTTTATACTCCAGTTAAACAAACAAGATAAGACTTTTTAATTGATGAGCTTTAACATGGCAGGTTGATTTGTTACCTTTGGACAGAGCTAGGCTAGCTGTTTCTCTGTCTCTCCAGTCTTTATGCTCAGCACCTGGCTTCAGCTACATACAAACCATGCAACATGAAAATGGTGATGAACTATTCCTTAAGAAGTCCATATTGTTGATGCGTGAGTTGCTGAGTGTTAGAGATATCGGCTGTAGAGATGTCTGCCTTCTCTTGAATATAATGAAACTAGATGGCACTCAGCTTGTGGTGCTCAAAGCACCAAAAAAATACATCTGAAAAACTCAGGCCATGTTTATACAAAAACGATCCACTGAAAACAGAATCGTTTCTCATTTTCGTTTTGAAAAAAGTTCCGCGTTTAGACGACAATGTTTTGATAACAATTGCCGTGCACACAGATCCGCAAAAATGACCAAAAGCGCTGTAGTATACATGCCAGGCCAGTAGCTGGTGGTGTGACGCTTACGCTTCCTTCAACAGAGCGGCGATGTATAAACAAACAAAATGGCAACCGCACAAACGTTTGTCTGGACGAATGACGAGGTGGAGTTGCTACAGTAAATCTACACTGTGATGGGGAAGCGTTGATAAATTCAAAAGGGTGAGCAGCACAAGCGGAGCTCAGGAGTCCGCCATTGTTGTTGTGATGGTCGACTTTCTCACGCATGCCTAGTGACTGGAAGCGTAATGCGCATGTGCGAAAAGTCTCCGTTTTCAGAGGAACTGCATATTGCAAGTTTACATGAGAACGGAGACGGTGCTGTTTCCAAAAAATTGCACTGTGGAACCTGTTTTCAAAATGTTGCGTTTTCAGGCACCCAAAACACAGCTGTCGTGTAAACAATCGGCCAAAACGCAACTAAAGTTTACCGTTTTCAGTTGAAATCGTTGTCGTATAAACGGGACCTCAACAACGTCTCTTTCCAGAAATCATAACCCGGTTATTCAAGATAATCCACCTTGTTTTAAGCAGTTTTATGTAGGAACTACTTTCTTTCTACCAAATTACACCCACCAACTGTATCACAGCACCGAAGGAAGTGTGCATCTACTGCTAGCTCACTTAGCACCATTGAGCTAGCTAACGTTACAGCTCAGCTGAGGAAGACACCATTAATGTTTACATCTTGTGCTGTCATGAGCACAAGCCTCTCGTCCATGAGTAGATGCACACTTCCTTCTGCACAGTGATACAGTTGGCAGGTGTAGTTTGGTAGAAAGAAAATAGTTCCTACATGAAACTGCTCACAATCTATCTGTTGATTATCTTGAGTAAGCGGGTCATGATTTCTGGAAAGAGACATTGCTGTTGAGTTTTTCAAATGTATTTTTTTGGTACTTGGAGCACCACAAGCTGAGTGTCATCTAGTTCCATTATATTGGAGAGAAGGCAGAGATCTCTACTGCCGATATCTCTAACACTCTGCAACTCACACTAAAACAATCTACACTGATAAATAGCACTACAGGTGAGGGGAGAAATATGGATTTTTGATTTCTGAGTGAACTGTCCCTTTAAATTCCATGTTACTGTGTTGGCTGTATCACAAGATGTAGGTTTACAAAACATTTAAAATCTGTCTTCTCTTCCTCTCTCTGTCTTTCTTTCTCAGTTGGAGGCGGAGTTAGCGCTGTGTGAGAGGGAGGGGGCGGAGCTCCAGGAGTACGCCAATCAGGTCCTGCAGCAGATTGCCGACCGATGCCCCGACATTTTGGAACAAGTGGTCAACGCTCTGGAGGACAGCTGCTGACACACGAGTGCACACACACACTGACAGAAACATAACGAAGCTTACAGTCATTAGTTTGCACGCAAAGTCAGAAAGCACGCCAACACACATGGGAGCATCGGAGGTCTCCAGCAAGCCACCATAACCTTCTGATACATGAGTAAAATCACAGGATGAAGACTTTCTCTGCCACTCTCATTCATACTGAAACATATTCTTCCACCATGTCTTTAGTCGCTATCATTTCAAACTAACGGTGCCATCTGAGGGAAATATTCTTCATCTTTCAAAGTGCTTTGTTGGCATGTTAATTGGAAGTAGTTGATGTTTTTGAGATGTATTTTCCTAACTGCTCGGAAACAGAAGGAGCCGTCACTGCACTCGCCATCTGTGACACTTCACAGCGGCCATCTTGTGTCCTCGCAGGCAATCAGCAGACTTGTAATCGTGACTTGCTGTATTTTACCAAGGGATGGAAATTATTTTCAAACTGTCTGAACAGGGTGAAAGTGAGTGGTGCTTGCCAGGTTTGTTTCTGATGCCAGACTTACACGCTGTTACCACATTGTTATTTGATTGGTTCAGATACAAAAGTGTGTTTATTTCAGCTGCCTTTGATTCTTTACATCATTTGCTGCTATCTTTTAAACTTTTTTCTCCATTTCTTTTTTTTTTTTTTCTGATGAAACGTCCCAACTTGTAGTTTGTTTCAGCAGTCGTCTCTGGACAGTTGTGTATGTTGTAAAGAGAGAACATTAGCTAACAGACACGCAGCTTTCGTCAGGGGAACACGACACTTTCATCTGTTTTCTTTTTTCCCCTCATTACTGATGAAAGGCACAATAAATCTCGCAATACTCCCTTTATTAAAACACACCAGTGTAGATGTTCTGTGTTTCTTTTGAACCTAACATGTTCAGTTATGGCGTCCATGCTGACATTAGGTTGTGTTCAGACAATCCCCTTTCTTACCATTTTGTGACAATCCCTTTAGAGTTAACATGGAGGAACCTGAACCCTTACTGAGACACCTTTTTTTCCTGGGGGAGGTAGGGAATATAAAATGATTGCTATATATTTTTTTGCTTTTGGTAATATATATATATAAAACACTAATCTTGTTTAATTGAAAATATTGTCATGTATTGGTTGGTATGTTACATAATGTGTCAAATCTTTTTTTTTTTTTTTTTTTGTGATTTGCAAGTAACCACAGATTTGTTCCGTACGCAGGAGACTGTTAGCGGGAACGTGTATTGCACCTACACAAGGCTCTGTGTCCACCGGGGGAACGTTTTCTCAGAATTCTTGTTCTTGTTGTTTACAGTGGAAATGACACTCTGATGCATGTTTCCCACAGCGCTGACAGCCTTAGCATGATTTCAACACTAACAGCACTGAGCACCAGAGGGTTGAATTGTTTCAATCAAAAGCTCCACTAACAGGTTTTTTAAAAACTCTTACACTGCGGTGAGTGCTGCAGCCGTGACTGGCCACATGCAGCTGTCCAGCGCTGCTCCCTGAAAAGAAAATACCTGGTGGAGACAAAGCCTAAAGATGGGGGTTTACTCTGCACGCTCAGATCTGATTTTACACCTTCAGAAGGCACCTTTGATGTGTATTAAAAAAAATCACAGGTGTAAATCATTCCAAAATATTTCACATCTGTTTTATGAGGAGAAATGGAAGCGGGTTGAATTTACTAAATGCTCCAATGAACACCAAGAGGCTCTTATTTTGGAATGAAGCTCCATCAGATCTGAGCTTGTGGTGTAAGTCCAATATTTTGTTGTCTGTTTTATACTGATTATGTTGTGGAACGGCGATGACTGGGAGTCACTGTGACTTGGATTGAAATCAGAATGAGAGAATGGAATAAAATATTGATTTATCTTTATTTTATTGTGAAAGGACTCCATCTGTCATTTCATCTTTCTCTGTAAACTGTGTTACAGATGAGAGCTGAGGCTTTCTGACTTGGGACCTCTTAAAGGGACAGTTCACCCCAAATTAAAAATCCATATATTTCCTCTTACTTGTAGTGCTATTACCAATCTAGATGGCACTCAGCTTGTGGTGCTCAAAGCGGCAAAAAAATACAACTGAAAAACTCAACAGCAATGTCTCTTTCCAGAAATCATGACCCAGTTAACTAAGATAATCCACAGACCTTGATGTGAGCAGTTTCAAGTAGCAACTATTTTCTCTCTGCCAAACAACACCCACCAACCGTATCACCACACAGAAGGAAGCGTGTATCTACACCCAGCACCACCCACCACCCAGCTGTCTAATGTTACAGCTCAGCTGAGGAGGACGTCATTAATGTTTATATCTCGCACTGTCAAAAGCATGAGCCTCTCATCCATGAGTAGATGCACGTTTCCTTCTGCCCAGTGATTTGGTTGGCGGATGTAGTTCAATTGAAAGAAAATAGTTCCTACATGAAGCTGCTCACAGCAAGTTCTGTGGATTATCTTGAGTAACCAGGTCATGATTTCTGGAAAGAGACATTGCTGTTGAGTTTTTCAAATGTATTTTTTTGCCACTTTGAGCACCACAAGCTGAGTGCCATCTATCCTGAACAAAAAATTTAGATAGTTCTGTTTTTCTCCCCCATTTTTCACAAGTTTAAGTTAAAGATTCAAGACGTTTCTCTCAAACTTTGGTTGCAAATTTGTTTAAATCCATCTTAGTGAGCACTTCTCCTTTTCCGAGATAATCCCTCCACCTGACAGGTTGTGCAAATCAGGATGCTGATTGAAAAGCGTCGTTACTACACAGGTGTGCCTTGGAATGCCCAACCAGCCTCACAACCAAAGACCACGTGTAACCACACAAGCTCCGGACCTCCACATCCAGCTACTCAAGATTGTGTAAGACCAGCCACCTGTACACCTGATGCAACACTTAGTTTGCACAACTGAAGAATATCTGCACAAACTATCAGAAGGTGTCTGAGGAATATTTGTCTGTATGCTCATTGTCCTCGTCAGGGTATTGACACAACAGCAGTTTGTTATCGTAACCTGGGAGGCTGGTTAGATGTACTGCCAAGTTCACAGAAACGACATAGGAGATGTCTTACGGTAGTGAAATGAACATTCATTTCACAGGCAACAGCTCTGGTGGGCCAATGACAAGCTCCCTCAAAATTTGTGACGTGTGTGTCATTGTGTTGTGTGATCAAACTGCACATTTTAGAGTGGCCTTTCACTGTGACCATCCCAACGTACACCTGTGTAGTAACAATGATGTTCAATCAGCACCTTGATTTGCCACACCTGTCAAGTGGATGGATTGTCTTGGAAAAGAAGAGACGCTCACTAACATGGATTTTAATTAATTTGTGACCAAAATTTAAGAGCATTATTTCTATTGAGCGCATGGAAAAGATCTTAGGTCTTTCACTTAAACCTGAGGTGAAAAATATGAACTAAACAGCAAAGTTGCATTTAATTTTTGATTGGTGTAGTTCTGTTATATTCAAAAAAAGACAGACATCTTTACGGCCGATATCTCCAACACTCTGCAACCCACAGCAAAACAGTCAAGACTGACAAATAGCGCTACAGGTAAGAGGAAAAACATGTATTTTTGATTTGAGGGTAAACTGTACCTTTATAATGGATCTGCAAAAAAAAAAAGATTGAGGAAAGCCATAAAAAGATTTTTGAAAAGTATAATCGTCTAGTCACCCCTCTGATTAATCCTCACTCACAAACTCCTTCACACAGTTGTGACTGTTGGTTATGTGAGAGACGCCAGGACTGATCTGTTTAGATTAATTGAGAACAAATGATAAAGACAGAGACAGGAACATCTTTCCTCTCATTTCAGTTCTACTTTTCCTGACCTCTCCTTTCCTTTTGACTCCCTCCTTCTCTTTATCTCCCTCTCTATACTGGGCTTCTTATCATGTCACCAGTGGTTTATTTTCCTGTCCGCCCACAATAACGACATTATTCCATAGGCCAGGCCTCATCCTGTTCCACTTCTTTACATACACACACAGTCCTGCCACACCATTACTACTGTCTTTAATGTCCAACAACTCTTCCACAAATGTGTTTTAGCTTGGACTCAAATTAATAATGTAGAGAGTTTTAACCTCCTGACACCCAGACTTTTGTTAAGTTTGCATTTTTAATTTCTCCTAGTTATTTGGGATCAGTAGGACCTGATAAGTATAAAAACCTAAATATTGTCAATGATAATGATGTCCCAATGTCCTCAAACAAGACAATAGTAAAGTCCCAATGTCCTCAAACCAGATGTTAATCAAGTCCCAGTGTCCTCAAACCAGTAGGACCAATCCCAGTGTCCCAGTGTCCTCCAACCAGACGATAGTCAAGTCCCAGTGTCCTCCAGCCAGATGTTAATAAAGTCCCAGTGTCCTCCAACCAGACGATAATCAAGGCCCAGTGTCCTCCAACCAGACGATAGTCAAGGCCCAGTGTCCTCCAACCAGATGATAGTCAGGCCCAGTGTCCTCAAACCAGACGATAGTCAAGGCCCAGTGTCCTCCAACCAGATATTAATCAAGTCCCAGTGTCCTCCAACCAGACGATAGTCAGGGCCCAATGTCCTCAAACCAGATGTTAATCAAGTCCTAGTTTCCTTCAACCAGACGATAATTGAGGCCCAGTGTCCTCCAACCAGATGTTAATCAAGTCCCAGTGTCCTCCCACCAGACGATAGTCAAGGCCCAGTGTCCTCAAACCAGACGACAGTCAAGGCCCAGTGTCCTCCAACCAGATGTTAATCAAGTCCCAGTGTCCTCCAACCAGATGTTAATCAAGGCCCAGTGTCCTCCAACCAGACGATAGTCAGGGCCCAGTGTCCTCCAACCAGATGATAGTCAGGCCCAGTGTCCTCAAACCAGACGATAGTCAAGGCCCAGTGTCCTCCAACCAGATATTAATCAAGTCCCAGTGTCCTCCAACCAGACGATAGCCAAGTCCCAGTGTCCTCCAACAAGACGATAGTCAAGGCCCAGTGTCCTCAAACCAGACGATAGTCAAGGCCCAGTGTCCTCCAACCAGACGATAGCCAAGTCCCAGTGTCCTCCAACAAGACGATAGTCAAGGCCCAATGTCCTCAAACCAGATGTTAATCAAGTCCTAGTTTCCTTCAACCAGACGATAATTGAGGCCCAGTGTCCTCCAACCAGACGATAGTCAAGGCCCAGTGTCCTCAAACCAGACGACAGTCAAGGCCCAGTGTCCTCCAACCAGATGTTAATCAAGTCCCAGTGTCCTCAAACCAGACGACAGTCAAGGCCCAGTGTCCTCCAACCAGATGTTAATCAAGGCCCAGTGTCCTCCAACCAGATGTTAATCAAGTCCCAGTGTCCTCCAACCAGACGATAGTCAAGGCCCAGTGTCCTCCAACAAGATGATAATCAAGTCCCAATGTCCTCAAACCAGACCATAATCAAGTCCCAGTGTCCTCAAACCAGACAGTAATCAAGTCCCAGTATCCTCAAACCAGACCATAATCAAGTCCCAGTGTCCTCAAACCAGACAGTAATCAAGTCCCAGTGTCTTCAAACCAGACAGTAATCAAGTCCCAGTGTCCTCAAACCAGACAATAATCGAGGCCCAGTGTCCTCCAACAAGACGATAAGTCCCAGTATCCTCAAACCAGACCATAATCAAGTCCCAGTGTCTTCAAACCAGACAGTAATCAAGTCCCAGTGTCCTCAAACCAGACAGTAATCAAGTCCCAGTGTCCTCAAACCAGACAATAATCGAGGCCCAGTGTCCTCCAACAAGACGATAAGTCCCAGTGTCCTCCAACCAGACCATAATAAAGTCCCAGTGTCCTCAAACCAGACCATAATCAAGTCCCAGTGTCCTGAAAGCAGACAATAATCGAGGCCCAGTGTCCTCCAACAAGTACATTGTCCCAGTGTCCTCAAACCAGACCATAATCAAGGCCCAGTGTCCTCAAACCAGATGTTAATCAAGTCTCATTGTCCTCAAACCAGACAATAATCGAGGCCCAAAGTCCTTAAACAAGAAGACGATAAAGTCCCAATGTCTTCAAACAAGTACTTCCTAATTAACAGCGTGTTAGCTTGTTACTGTTGCTAAAATTGGTCAAATTTGTTGCCGTATCAAACTATAAACATTATTAATCATAAATAAAGAAGTTCCAACCATGCAATGTGATCAGGTTTTGGACCTTGTCCACTTTTGTGTCGGGATCGGCTGCAGACTGACTTGGCAGAGATGGCTGCCATCTTGTTTTTACATGTTTGATCGTCTTCTCAGTGCTAAGCCAGGGCCACTAGATGGGTCAAAAAATGTCCACAAACGAGGACGACAGATCTGAGTTAAGCAGAATGAAGAATAAGGTCAAGTAAAGCCAACATGTGATGTCGTCATATGAGGAAACAGGGTCTCAGGAGGTTAAACTTGACTTTGCTCAGTGACTTTGAAACTTTTGGTGCTAAATATGCTCTAATGAAGATGAAGAAAGACTTTAGGATAAAAAAGGCGGAGTTTGTGCATGTCTGTGTTATGAGGTTGAATGTAGCTGACACAGGAAAGTGTCTGCAGAAAGTTCCTGACACACACACTTCCTTAATGTGTGTATCTTGCATATGGCAGCAGCTCAGTGTAATGCGTTCATCCAACTAGAAAATCTGCTTCAACAGACCTACCCAGCTGGACTGACCTTGAACCTCGACCTCAACCCAACCTTTGATTCAAAGAATTTCCAAGCAGAGTGAAAACATCATCAGGCTATTAGGGGTCGCTCTGTTTCTCACACAATAAAACACATGAGAGGCAGCTCACTGACAGTCTGTAAATCTAACATATGTGCCGGTGTTTACCTTCACATATGGCAACGCTTTGCTCAGCGCGTCCGTATATACCTGGAAGGATCCTGTTCTGCTTTCTCCATCTACTGTCCTAATAAAAGCCAGTGGAGGGAGACAGAAGGGACGGACGGAGCGCGAAAGAGGAGGAGGAAGAGATACGCTTGTATGACTGCCTGATTTATGTGATGCAGAAAGAGAAGGAGAGGGAGGGAGAGATAGATAGGAAAGAGTGGAGACACAACCCACTGAGCGCCAGACATCATTTTATCTTCTTGTCTCTGCTGTAACTCACAGAGCTTAGAGTGTCTTTCAGCATAAGAACTATGCATGCTACTGCATGTCTCAACACCAAAGATATGTTTTAAAGGAGAATGTGTGTATTTCCGTAAAACAAAGTCTAAGATGTAGATGAAGGCCTAGTCCAAACCTACGTGCTTACTGAAAGTAAACCCTTTGTTTGTCCATTGTCCAGTCGAAAGATGCTAAAGCATTTTTTTTACTAGTGGCATTCAGTTAAAGAATAAAAAAGGACATGGTAGGACATATTACACTTAGCTTTTTGATTGTTTGTATGTTTGATTCTGTTTTGTAGTGTAGGCTTTTAGTTGTCCGGATGGCCAAGTGGTCTAAGGCACCAGATTCAAGGGTTGACTCCTTCCTGAGTGAAAGGGACTTCTGGTCTCCGAATGGAGGCGTGGGTTCAAATCCCACTCCTGACACAGATTTTTCCACCAGTTTGGTGATACAGATATCGCTGCTTTTTTCATCCATCAATCAACTGATGAATCCGTTTCAATCTATCAGGGAGGCACACCAACTTGATTAGATTTCTTAACACAGGGGAATTAATGCAGTGTCGAAATATGAATTTTACCATTAACATAGCGCAGCTAGCTCAGTCGGTAGAGCATGAGACTCTTAATTTCAGGGTCGTGGCTTTGAGCCCCACATTGGGCTTTAATTGAAAGTTCATCTGAACCTGAAAGTGTTACTGTACAAAGAGAAGTGTTCAGTTATAAAATCACTTTCAAGTGGTTGTCTTGGACATAAAACTGCAGTATCTTGGCCCCCTTGACAATGATTTGTAGTACTTTGGATGTCGCTATAGATTTTCCAAGTCTCCTATAGTCTTTAGACCTGTAACTTCTGTTTACATGCTGTAGTTTCAGCTGAGAGAATTATGTCAAGGGCATTAGGGCAACTCAGTTTTAGACAATATATGTAGTAGGGGGTCTCTGCTCTGTCTTTCTTTCAGCAAAGGGGTCCTTGGCATGAAAAATGTTTAAGACTCCTGCCTCAAAACACATCATCAGACTTCTGAGGTGAGAACTGGGCTGCCCTAGTCCCCAATTAAAAAATACCTACAATTTATTCAGTGTCACTTCAGTTGGATTTCTTTTTTGGGGGCATTTTTAGCCTTTATTTGACAGGACAGACAAGCATGAAGGGGGTAGAGAGAGAGGGACAGACATGCAGCAAAGGGCCACAGGCTGGAGTCAAGCCCCAGCCGATGTGGCAACAGCCTTGTACATGGGGCGCCTGCTCTACCTCCAAGCCACCGATGCCCCGATTCAGTTGGATTTCTGTGTAATAACATGAGACTGCAGACTCAGATTGTGATCATTTCCTGTGATGTAGTCTGGATGTA